CTTACCCCGACGATCTGTTTTGCATTCCGTGTCCTGAAATCTGCCGTGCATTAGGAATCCCAGAGGGCAGCATTACCAAGGTGCAAAAGGCTTGTTACGGCCTTGTTGACGCTCCTCTTGAATGGTACCGATCAGTGGATGAATTCCTTCGTGAATTGGGATTTACCAAGCTGTGGTCTGATCCTTGTTGTTGGGTTCTCAGGGTTGAAGGGAAGCTCCGAGGCGCCATCAGTGGTCATGTCGACGATTTTCTCTTTAGTGGAAAAGAAGGGGATGCTCTCTGGGAAAGCAAGCTCCAAGCCATCAAAGAAAAATTCAAGCGGGGGGACTGGGAATCCGGCAAGTTCACTCAATGTGGTGTTGTAGTGGAACAAACCCCCAACGGCTTTGAACTCTCCCAACCGCATTACCTCGAGAACCTTCACGAGATAGGAGTGAACGCCACCCGTAGGAAGGACACCTCCCAAGCCACCTCAGACAAAGAAAAGACCCAACTTCGAGCCTTGTTAGGAGGCATCAGCTGGCATGCTCAGCAGGTTGCGCCCTACCTCACAGCGGAAGTTAGCTTGTTACTAACCGAGGTAACACGAAGCACCGTGGACACCATCATCCGCGCGAACATGCTCTTGGCCACAGCGAAGAGCAAGCAGTCCTACAAGATGAAGGTCCACGCCTTCAAGGAGGAGGACGAGCTCACCATGGTGATGTGGGTTGATGCGGCTAATGGCAACCGCATCGACGGAGGCTCCACCCAGGGCCTGTTCCTAGGAATGACCACGACGGCCATGCTGAAGGGGGACATCACTGCTGTTGCTGTTACACCACTGTCCTGGCACTCCCAGAAGATCGACAGAAGCTGCCGCTCTCCAGGAGCTGCAGAATCACAGGCGGCGGTGAACTGCGAGGACGGGCTCTACTACGGCCGATATGAGTGGTCAGAGCTGCTCTACGGCAACCCCGACTTGCACGAACCTGATGCGATGGTCTCCAAGACAAGTGGCTGTGTGGTGACCGACAGCAGGAACGTCTACGACCGCCTTATTACCGAGGTTATGGTGATCAAAGGTGCGGAGAAGCGGACCAGCATCGAGCTGCTGGCCATCAAGGAGTCTCAAAGCTGTACCGGAGTGCAACTACGCTGGGTTCACAGTGAAGCTCAGTTGGCCAATAGCCTGACCAAGGCAGGAGGACGACGGGAATACGAGCTCTACCTGAAGATGCAGCACCAATGGCGTCTGGTGGAGGATGAGTCCATGATGTCCGCCAAACGGCGGAAAGAGATGGGACTTCAACCGCTTCAGCACAAGGACCATCCCAATGTTTCTCAGGGTGAGAGTGTTAATGATACCTATATAAGTGATTCGCAGAGATCCACAAGAGCCAATTGCGCTCTGAGTTTGAAGAGGGGGAACCTTCAACTCTGGAGGGGGAGGGGGGCATGCAAGTGAAACTTGTATCCCTCACTCGCTAGCCCTCTCAGCCAGGATTATCGCGATGACCGACAGCCTATGGAAGGATCAAAAGCTCGCCAGGCGGGCCAGGGATTTCTCTTAGCTCCGTACGAATCCGAGCCATATCGATATCCCGTGCCATCCTTGACTTACCTCCTCGGCCTGAACATTGTGTGCTACTGCAGTTGCTACCGCTTTCAGGGTATATATATATATACATATATTTATACACACATGAGCACCTCTCCTGATTGTAATGCGCATATACCTCTCTCTCTCTCACTCTCTCTCTCTCTCTCTTCTCTCTCTCTCTCTTCTCTCTCTCTCTCTCTCTCTCTCTCTCTCTCTCTCTCTCTCTCTCTCTCTCTCTCTCTCTCTCTCTCTCTCTACCGGGCTTGGGGATTGGGGCAGCATCCAGGCCCCGCCCCCCCGTGCGAAGCGCACACCCGCTATTCGCGGGGCGTGCTTTGTCCTCGCGGGACTTTATCCCCCGAGGCTCGGCTGCACAGCAGAAGTCAGGGTATTGTCCATTCACTGTCCCCCCCGCGAGTTGCTGTAGGTCAGTTGCGTAACAAGACGAGAGTGAGAATATGGTATTAAGATTTCCCCTCCAAAAACTAAGGTTTGCAAACTGAGAACTGAGGGCCCGGCCAAATTGCAGACACGATAAGCTAGTCTGGAGGCACCCCCCCATTTCATTTGACTGGGCTTTAGCTGCACTGGTGCAAACACGTGAGACATGGGCTGCATGAGGTGACCTATTGACTCGAGTGGGGTCCCCCTATATGTTTTCAAGCTAAATCTGTATGCAATCCCTTCTTCGGTGTCAATAAGGCCCATGCTTCCCATATCTTCCCATAAAGGGCAGCTTGGAGCCGTCGCCTTCTATGGCTTGACGTGGGGTACGGGAGCGTGCTCTTTCTGCACTCAGTTGAGCTCGTCCCCCGGCTGGTGGTGGATTCCATGGTATGGTCGCGGCTTCACTGTCACTCTGTGTCGGCATGGTGGCCATGCTCCCCACTTCGTTGACAGCGTGCTGCAGGCTTGCTGTCATGAGTTGGGCCAGTTGCTCTGCCGACAAGGCTCCATCCCCCCGGTGCGGCTCTGCAGGCTTGAGCTCGGTCGTTTCCTTCTCGGTGCCGTCGCCAAGCTCCTCCGGGTTCCCCTCGGGGTTCACGGGCTGCTCGTTGTTGGCCGACGTTGTCCCCCCAACATCGTTCTCTTCCTCGCCTGTCTGCGTACACTCATGCCCGGCATGTGCCCCGCCAAAGAGAGCCTGTTACCATGCTTCGAGTGCTTGGAGCATTTCGACTATGGGCAACATGAGCTGGTCGTTCATGAAAGGGACTATGTTCCTTAGCCTCCCCGCAGCTTGTAGCAGCCTTGTAGTTGCCGACGATCGTTGTGAGGAGCGTGCTTCCCATTCTCCACTTGCTTCCCCCGCGAACGTAAGGACGCCGGCTGGGTGTGCCGTGGCTGGGTCCTCATCCATGGTGACTGCCTCGCCTCTCTTGGTGGCTAGGAGAGCTGGAGGTCATGCAGGTCGTTCCACCATGCTAGAGTATTCCAGTTGCGGTCCCCCCCGCCCCCCAGCGTTGCTAGGATGACCTTGTCGATTTGGTGGTATGCGGCCGTGAGCTTCTGGGTTGCCTTTTGCAGGCTGCTCTCACTGACATCCCCCGGCATGGGGTCCTTGACTTCAGCCAGCCCTGTCTCCACCATGGCCTAAGGTCGGTGGCGTACTCTTCCGGCGTGAAGCCTTCCCCCATTCTCACACGCACGGAGGCTACGAAGCGATATGCTTCGCTAAGGCCCGAGGGTCCTGCGAAGGCTGCTTGGACTCCCCCCGGCCGTGAGTGGGGAAAACTGTCAGCTTGAGTAAGCATCCTGAGGGCTATTGCACATATGTTGGAGATGATCTCCCCGTCATGGTTGTCGAGGCCATCTGCAATTTCGTGTATCATTTGCAGCTGGGTCAGGGCGGCTTGGATCAGGGCGGCTTGGATCGCTCCCTCCTGAGCTGCCAGTCGAGTCTGCGCGTCCACTGGGCCTGAGGAGCTTGCTGCTGCCTGTTCCCCCGGTGGGTTTCGTCTTCTGCGTGGGCCTCCTGCTGGTGGTGCTCGCCGTCGCCGTCTCACGAGGCCACAGCTTTCTTCGTCCGTGGTCGTGCCGTCGAGGTGGTCCCCCGTCTCGTTGTTCGAACATGCCGCCGGTGACCGCGAGGGTGTAGTGGTAGTCGAGGCGGTAGTTTGAGGGTCCCCCTTTTGCATAAGTTCCACATGGTCTGCTTCCATGCCGCCGGGGGCGGGCGCTGGGCTAGGCTTTGGGCCTATATGCCTTCCGTCTCTTACTTGGTGGTACCATGGTGTGGGAGTTGGTGCTTGGGCTTGTGCTGCATTTACCTCTCTCTCTCTCTCTCTCTCTCTCTCTCTCTCTCTCAGCGTTCAAGTCTCTCTCTCTCTCTCTCTCTATAGAAATAAATGTACAAACGTCCAAAAGGCCCGTCTTGTCCGAAGTCCTACCTCTGTCCCAATTTCCTGCCGCTTCGAAAGGTAACAAGGCAAACTCCATTCGAGGTTCCGACCTCTGCTCGAGGTACCCTCTGTTCGAGGCTCCGGGCTCTGTCCGACGTCCTTTTATCAGAGTCAACCTCTGCTCGAGGTTCCAACCTCTGTCCGAAGTTCTTGTGCAATGCCCATTCCTCACACAGGCTGCTGCCGACGGTGTGATGGCGGAAACCAAGGACCTAATGATGTGATGCGTCCAGCTATTTACGAACACAGTCACGTCTGTAGGTACACTGAGGTTGCGGCTGGTGCCATGTTTTTGACTTAGGAAGATAGGAAGCTCGCTGGACAAAATGATCCTATTCTTAACTTTTGGCAAGCCAGGCCCCGGACCGAACCTCAACAGGGGTAAGATGGGCTTGGACCGAAACCAGCCGACTATGTGCTTATGGCTATTAGCCTACATTATCTTTGTGATGATTTCGAGTTCGATTGTATTCATATTACATTATTTTTTTAAGTATTACTATTCTGTTATATTAACAAATGTGGCCACACACAGTGAAAGTACTAATTTTCGAAAGGCCTGTGTTGGAGGAGTGAGTAGTGTTTCGGAGCAGGATAAACCCAGAAGGGCGGACAGGAGAAAAGCGGAGCAGGACGAGACCTGAAGGATGAAGGAGGAAAAGGAAAAGTGAAGCCAACAAGCAGAAGAAAAAGCAGGAGCATAAGAGCGAAGCATAATAGCAGAGAAGCAGAGAAGATGAAAAGCAAAAAACTGGCAAGGAGAAGCAAGAACAAGCAGAAAACGAGCTCAGGCAGAAGGCAGAAAGAACAGCGGAACAAAAAAAAAAAAAAAACAGATAATCGCAGGAACAGAAAAGCTAAGCAGAGAAGCGGACAAGCAGAGAAACAGAAAAAACAAAAGCAACAACTAGAAGGACGGGAAAAAAGTAGCAAAGCATAGAACACAACAAAAACAACAAACACTCAAAAGCACACAAAAATCCCATGAACAAATAGGCCTCCGAATGCGCGCGTCCTGGTCCTCCTCCTCATCGTCACCTTCAGCTGAAGGCTTCAAGAGGTTTGGATGTGAGAGAACGGGGTGTGAATTGGCATGAAGCCGCGATTCGTCTTGCGACCACGTTGCTTTCTTCTTCCTCTGGCAAAATGTAGGGCGACACCCACCACTCTGCAAAGTCGCCTGCCGTGGGCGGCATCTTGAGGAATGGCACAAGTATCGATCGCTTCTCCAACTGAGCCGGGATTTCCGAGGTACTGAAGCAGCGCATCCTAGGTCGACTCAACATCCGAGAAAGAATTCAGCCATTTCGGCGAGACACTGAGTTCAAGTTCCAAACCGCTGAGCAACAGGACAGAGAACGGATTCGTCTCTGATCACAAACAACGTCATCTTCAGACAGGCCAACCAGGCAGCAATGACAGCAATGCAAGCGACGCTGCACTCGGCAAAAGGCCGAGGGCGACTCTAGCTTCAACGCCCACAGCACAAAATATAAATTCGAGAGTTAAGCCATCTGCCGCCAAAAAGCAGTCAGTTTCGACCAGCATGGCCTGCTCTCGACTGCCTTAGGTGGCACCGTATTGGGCTCCCTCTAAGCACTGCTAAGCAAGCCTCCGGGGCTCCAAGGACCTGTCCGAACTTGAACTTCGGAGTGTGCTCCCTGCTCCCACTGCAGTTTCTCACTTTGCGCCTCTTCGGCATCAGCCACTGTCCCGAGTTTGAATCCTGGCATCTTCATGCTGAGGCGGTTGTGCTTGGCTTGTCGTAGGGTCATGGTCGTAGGAACATGAGGTCTGCGGAAAGACTTAACGACACATGGCAAGACAAGCGAAAGAGTCCAGGTGTCGTCGAGTGCGAAGTCTCGCTGCTCGCAAAGGACTTGTTGCGCACCAGCTCCTCACATCGGCTGCTAAGGCGCTACAGGGTGTAGTACTTATACGGTGTTGCAGGTCAACGAAAGGGACAAGACATCGGGCCTTCGGCTCGTCCATGTGCACGATGTGGATCGGGAAAAGTTTGCATCTACTACAATCCCCTAGCATGCTGCTGCCGAACCTGACTCGTCAAATTGTGGCCAAAGATGATCTCTGCTGGCCCCTGTGACAAATGTTTGTCAACTAAGGGTCTCCCATCAGAGCAGCTGAAGCCGGTTAATGGGACATGGATTGCGAGTTCGCCACTCTCCAACATGCGCCAACAAGCTGCAGCCTGAAAAGTTAGAATGCTTGTGGCTGCTTGCTTTCGCAGGTGCACACAGCTTCCACAGCGAAGCATCTCATCTGGGTTGCGGCAGTCTTGCGCAGCTATCCCACAGAGAGACTTCCTTGATTGGGAGTTTGTCACTAGCACGCGGGTCCTTGCGGAAGAAGAACTGCTGGCTTTCGCATGCGAGCGTGCGCAAACCTGTAGTCACAGCCACTGTGTTTGTTCACATCGCTCTCCTTCGCTCTCCTCACTCCTCCGGCTTCCGGCTCCGCCTTCTGGTGTCCTCACCCCTTAGCAAAGCCCCCTACACGGTCGCTCCTGCAGCATGGATTTAAGCCGCTGCCTCTGCTTCGCCCGCAAGGGCACCTCCAAGTGTGCCCAGGACCACACTCTCCTTCTGAATATTTTTTGCCGCTTCTTTTGGTTCTTTGTCAATTGCTGCCTGTCCGGCAACAGTTCGCCACCATCTTTAAGAGGCAAGGATCCATGTCGCTGTCGTGCTGTGGAGCTTGAGGGAGATGGCTTGCGAAGCACCGCACGGTGGATGACGAAACAGCAGGACAAAGCCGAAACAAACAGCAGGACTTGTAGCAGTGAAATGAGGTGAAACACACAGTTTTCGTCCGTGTTTCTTCGCTTGCACGGCCTCTGCTCGAAGTGTGGCTCAAGCCTCCCAAGTTCCTCGGGAAAGCATCATGCTTTGCCGCTTACCCAAGAATCAACGATGCCGTAGGACAGTGGCCGAACCCTGCGGAGACAGTGACATTTCATCTATGCTTTGGTTTAGTTCGCCCTGACGATGGGAGAAGGGCCAGCACGATGGCGGATGGACGAAATCTTGCACCACCTATATCTTGGAGTTTCGTGTCTGTCTGGTTTGCGAAATTTAGGACATGGGGCCAAATCCGGCCTGCGAGCTCCGACAGCCAATGTTCACAAGGGAGCATAAAGTCTGCCTTCAAGACATGTACGAAAAAACGATGCAAGTTTAGTCCACTCAGCAGACGCCTGACTGTGTTCAAACGATACACACTGTTGTCGAGACCAGACCTTACTTGCATCTGCTGCAAACATCTAGGCAGACAATAGCACCTATCCAAAGGCCAGTACCTCGCCCGATAGCCATTCATTCTGCGTTATTCTTCTTGCTCGCAGTTCTACAAGTACAAGGTTTCGAAACAGCAGACAAATGAACACTCAAGCAATATGTGCTGGAAAAAGAAGCAGACTCCACAAGTCACAGAGTTCACAGCCATGGATGGTGACTACAAACTGCACCTAGCCTTTTCGTGCCTCGAGCATGTAGCACGCAATTCGACGGTGTTAGCCGAGTCCGTTGATTATCCGTGTTCCAGGTCAGTGACCACATCGTGACACACGCCACTTTCGAACCAAAATGCCACTGGCTTACAAGTTTAATATTTCAATTCGTCCTACTGCTGCCGCCGTAAACGCTACTTTCAGACTTGTAGCAAACTCCTGACTCCAAAACGCAAGAGTGTCCTCCACAGCAGCCGCGACACTGCTGGACAGAATCAAGAACCTCGTATGCACACCGAGCTACAAGGAGTGGTGAAAGCCAGCTTGCGCAGAGTCAGAAAGGCGGCAACGAGCGGCGACCAGCAAGAAAGCGAGTCGCACGCTGGAACAAAGATGGGGCTCTGGATTCGTGCACTGCAGCTGCAGATTCGCTCACGGAGTTCGGAGGATTCCCGCCAAGGCGATTCCTCCCCCAGTGAAACCCCGGATTCGGACACCAGCGATTCGCTCAGAACAGACACCCTTGTCAGTGGCTTTATAGGCCCCCACTGCGACTGAACAGCAGCATCACTGTAAACGCCCGGCCCATACCCTAGAAAAGCTGCCAGTGCTACACAGCCCTATAACACCCATCAGCCGGAAACCAGAATCTTGAATGGACTGCCGCATTTTAAAGAGTGTCGAGATACCTATAAAACCCGGGGGCCATAAGACTTAAACCTTTAAACACTCACTTGTCTTAACTTTAACTTGCAGCCCTACACTCCCTAAAACTCTAAAGTGCTAAACCCTAAAATTCTCAAACAAATGTCAAATCCTATGCCTCGGCTATCTTTTTGTCTTTGTCCTATAACCCTGAATCCCAAGCCCGACCCTATAAACCGCGCAACCCGCAAACTGCAATCCCTAGCCCTAACCAACCCTACCTTGAAGAGCGACAGCTTGAATCCTGCTCAAATTTGAACATGAAATGATCATCTTGCATGCAAGTATCCCGTGACCCTTGCGGATGAACACCTTGTTCTCCGGGTACCTTCGGAACTTTGAGACTAGGACAAGCTGTGACAAGCTGTCAACGAGGGTCAGACACACGACCCCTTCTAAACCTCACCCTCAAGGAGAGCAAGCACCTTGAACATGCTTTCATTCCAACACAGCCTGTGTGGGTCAAAGGCCCACTATCATCTTGAGCACGGACCCTTGGAGCCATTATGTCGGCGCACGGGAAGACTTTGAACAATTCCATCAGGGCATCAACGTCCTCGCACAAGACGTGTTGAATTACACTGCCTCGAGGTCGCTGGATGCGAGTGTAGGGGTGTAGATGCGGAGATGCGGCTGTAGCAATTCTTGGACTGAAAGGCGAAGCCGGCAAATCTGTGGGGTTGCACATTGATCATTGTTCGGCCTGTGCCGATACGGAAAAGAACAGCGCTCCACGACCAAATGCTTGGCGATGAGAGGTGCTACTCGTCTGATTCATAGCTTTAACAGCTTACATGCATTACGGCTTCACCTTCCATGTCTCGTCGGTCCTCTGGCGTGCTGAAGAGCGTCTCCTCGTGACTGATTGGAAGCTTCAGTGCTTTGGCCTTCTCCAGACCCTCCTGCAGCATCCGCTTCGAGCGATTATCTCTCCAGATCTCTGCAGTCAACGAGCTAGAGTGCAGCCCTGAATGTCGCAAAACAAAACCGCCGCTGCAGATAGCGTTCCCCTCACCTGTCTCCGAACATGCCTCATAGCGCTTTCTTGAATCCTTCTCGGCAAGAGCATGCCCGTGCAAGGCAACCAGTGGCCGCTCAGGCCAGCTAAATGTCTCCGCGGCTTTCATGATGCAAGCCCAGTGCAACGGCCTGAGTCCAACAATGCTCACATAGGGCGGCTGACATGACTTGACACAAAATGACTTCGCATCATTTGCATCTGGAACCTTTTCTACGACTTTGACAGAACCATCTGATGAGCGAACGGCTGAGTGCACGGCGTGTCAGACGTGGGCTTTGCCCCCATCTTTGCAGGGCAAAAACAGCAGCTCCACTCGTTCCAATCGAAGGATTGGACAGCCACGAAGTCTGATTCACTGGGCCGCACACCTGCATCCTGGGCAAATGTGGTAGAAGTGAAGGGATTTTTGACTTAGAAACGAAATCACAAGTCTGGCTGAGCCTAGCGCCTTCCCTGATCTTGTCACAAGAAGCATCTCCTGATGACGGAGCTTACATTGGCTATACTCTCTGAGCAGCTCTTGAACGCCATCTATGGTCAGGCGTCTGGCGTTCCCAGCCCCCCCCCCCCTCCCAATGTATGGTCTGGTATAGGATTCCCCCTCTTTTGCGGGGGGGGGGGGGGGGGGGGGGGGGGGGGTCGGGAATAGGTTTGGGCTTATTTCTGGGATCCATGGATTGGGGGGGGGGGGGGGGAGGGACTGTTCCGGGGCATAAAATCCAAGTATGAGATGTGCTACCCGACCGAAGAAAAAACGAATCACTGAGCTGGAATGCAATCTGGAATGCATTAGCTATTAATGCAGAGAGTCACTGCAACACTTTTTGCCACGCCATCGGCTCGCAGTGTGTGTTGCCCCCTGAGCCGAGCTTTTCTTAGCTAGGTGTGAAACTTGTTGTGCCGCAGCGACTGCAAAGTAGGGTTTACCATGGTTTACCGACGCCCTGAAGCCTGACCCCTAAGCCCTGATGCCAAACTCTAAAGCCCTAGAGGAATAGAAGTTGGGTTGAGGTTAAAGGCTGATGCAGAACTATTTCGAGCTACGGCAGTGACTCGCTAGCGCCAGCGAGTGGATGGGATGACTCTGACTCTTGCTCACACGTGGAGTGTGACCCTATGCTATGCCTATATCCGGACTTGATTCTGGACCTCTCTCGGCGGATCACGAAGACCGCAGCATCCCATCCTAAAGCCCCAGTTGAATCACAGGCGGCGATGCCGCTGCGATGTGAGACAGGAACTGCCGGAGCTCGTTCACAGACTCCTTGCCTCAGTGCACTCGGAAGTTTTGGTAATGGGGGGTTTGTTTTGTTTCAGCTTGTGGATTGCTTCGGCTTGTATCGGAAAAGTGACCTGAACTTGCAGCCTAGACTATATGTCACCCGAGCGGCCACGAGTGGGGAGATGCATCATCAGCTTGCCGTGCACCCTCTGAGCAAACTTGTATCCTTTGGTGTCTTTGAACTCCGAAAGGAAGAAGCCAGGTGCCCTCTGCACCAGATGCTCCCATTTCTCCTTCTTCTTCTGTCCAAGCAAGACGTACCCCTCGGCATCGACGAACTTCAAATCCTTTGCCTCGTAGGCGGCACGCAAGCCATGCAAGAATTTGCGGAGCTCTGCAGATAATGTCTGTCTCATGAAGGAACGGTCGACAAACTGCATCGTCGTGTTGTCTGGTGCAACCGGCTCTTGTCCAGCACTCTTCGGCACTGTGGTCGATGTAGTCGCTGGGACAGCATCTGCAGGCAGACAAGGCAAGGAGAGGTTCTTGAGGCAGTGCAGGACTTCGCGGCTTGCCTCGCTGAGCTGTGCATAGAAACAGAGGCCATCGGACCAGGTCTTGCAGAAGAGCTCTCCGTGGACATTGTTGGCCGGCTCGAGCAGCAGAACCTTTTCAAGGCACGAGGTCTTGTAGAGGCCGGGGTTCTCTGGCTCAGGGCTGAACAATGCGACGTGGATGCATTTCGTTGCATCTGCCGGCAGCGGACTTGCCATCTGATTCGCAGTTCGGATCCGATCACTTCCATTCACCCGTCGCTGCAGCGATCCTCTGAAAACGGACAAGGTGCAAGCCAAGCTCGGCGAGCCATTGCAAGTGACTAGCAGGATCTGCGGGCTCGCCTTCGTCAAGGGACGGTACTCCTCAATGCACTGCAATCCACCGGCAGCCTTGGGGTACTTGTTTTCAACCGTCTGGACAAAAGCCGAGGAGGCGTTGGACCACGCTGTGGCCCGTGCCAAGCGCTGGTGTGACAAGTTTGCGACACGCCGTGCGGCCGCCAAGTCATGCTCACGCTGATTCCACGGGTGCAACTCCTTGTGGCCCTGCTGTAACGTGGCCTTGCTCAAGATGCCCTCTTCCAGGCGAGCTTCCCGGCAAAATGCACGGATGGGGGACATCAGAGTCTGCACACGCTGCAAACAAGCGGCTTCTCCCATCCCGGTCTTCTCACCGATGTCGTCTCCGGAGGGCGGCTTGAGGACTTCATCCAGCAGCTGCTGACGATCATCAGCTGGTTCAGGGTTCGGGATGTCCGGCACGGGCTCGTCTGGGTTGCACAAGGTCTCGACCTCCTCCATGACGGCGGCACGATCCAATACACACTGCAGCTTCTCGGCATCCCTGGTCGCGAAGGTCTTGGTTTCGCCTTCCTGCATGGTGACCTCCTCCATGTCGGGCAAAAGGTCCCCCGGGTCCTCGGCCTCGGAGAGGCAGCGAAAGAAGGAATGCCCCTCGCTGTTCCACCATTTCCGGAGATCGGCATACAACTCATCAGCTTGGCATCGACACAGATGAAGCTCCAGAACTGCAAGCAGCAGCACAGTGCTCTCTGACAGATTCTGGCTAGAGTCTCTACCGAAAGGCCTTGCCGATCCTGAACCGTGCGCTGCCTTTCCAAGGTTTCCAGGCTGATGTTCTGCAGCACTTTGGTGTTCTTGGCGGCCAGACGGGCAGTGCCGTAGAGAAGATCTTTGATCGTTGGATTCCCCCTGAACGGCGCCTTGACTTGCGAGAACATCAGCTCGATGCCGAGCTCCTGAATGTAGCGGGGCTCGTAGGTGCTCAGGCTGCAATGGACAGCATGGGCGGCGGAGCTGCACATGTTCCGCAACGTCGTGTGAGAGATCGTCTCAGACGACGGTCGTCCTTTGGTCTTGTTGTGCTGAAGGTGCAACAGCATTCGGAAATGCACGCAGTAGGCATTGAAGGCACAGTCAGATTTGCTGTATCCGGGGCTGCCACCGTTGCATGAGCACAGCAAGGAGCTGATGAGGACGTGTACGTGCAGTCCAGAAGCACTCCAGCTGCGTGGCACGAAGGGTGGGGAGCATCGCTGGGCAGCATCTTTGTCGCTCTCCTTGTTGACACAAGTGAAGGTCTTCTGCGAAATGCCGTGATCCAACTCGCATGCCAGGTCACACCACAAGTCTCCGTACCTCACCTTGCGAATGCCGCTGCAATGTTGTAAGTTGTACCTCTTGGTAACGTGAAAGTACCCATTCGAGGGTGTCATGAGGTACTCACCGAACTTTGCAAAGGCGAAGGGCCACAGCTTCCAGGTGGCGGGGTAGGTCAGCTGGAGCTCCTTGAAGAAGGGCAACCCCTGTCGCTGCTCCTCAGGCAGGAGGCCCAGCCATGCCGCGTTGACCTTGGTGTTGCTGCTTGCTCCATCGTATGCTGTGCCTGTTGGCGGCACGTTTGCATTGCTGCACGTGAGCACATGAAGGAACTCGGCAACGATGCCAAGCACGTCATCACTGGATCCGATGGCGTGCTGACACGGGATAGCACAAGCGTCGAAGATGTAGGCCCAGGAGCTTGGATGCTGCAGAGTGAGGTGTCAGGTGGTTTTCGCCAGTCTGTCCGGCGGCAAGTCATGAACAGAGTGCGTGGCAGCATCCAGACAGCTGTAGTCCAAGCTCGGGTCCTTGGCATAGGACCCTCCAACTATCATGTCCTTCCCCTCGCGACATCCGCGAACAAGATCAAAGGAAGGAGACCAAACGGTCTCGTCGAAGACCACATGTGGCCTTTTCCCCGACAGCCTCAGGTGCCCCAGAATCTTGCGGCAGCATTGCCGTAGCACCTCCTCGTCTCGTATGGACACGAAGAAGTCCGGGAGGCACGGCTGGCACAAGGTCCGCCTGGGAACCCTTTGCGGATTCAAGCGGAATCGCTCCATGATGGCCATGATCTCAAGGCCACGGCCGAGGCTGGTCACTGCCTCGAGCATGGCGTCATGCTGCATCCACTCACTGGAGTTTACCCGCACCCCTCCTTTGCTGGCAGCTTCTAGCCTCATCACGAAGGTTGTGATCATGCTGTCCACTAGGGCGTCCCCCCTGAGGCCGCCTGCTGCGATGCGCGCAGCGACCTCGATGTCTCGTTCACGAGCTCGCCCAGAAAGAATGGCGTTGCTCAAGCTCTTGGTCAATGCTGCATGCGCTTCTGCCTGCAGGTTGTCCGCCTGGTACACAGGTTCCTGCACACTCCATGTTCGAAAGAGGCCCTGCATCGATGCACCTAGTCTCCAGGTTGGAATGCAATTGAGTTTCTGTCGAATGATCCGCACTCTATCCAGCTTAGCAGGAACAGCGAGGATGGTGTCAAAGTCTGATCCTGCCAGACTCAGGCGCAAGTAGTCACGTGCATGCAAGGTGGTCACGTACAGCTGCAGCTCTGCATCGTCGTCATGCAGCAGGCGTGCAAGGTCGGCAACATACGCCTTCTGGCAGATGTACCTCTGCACCTCCTTGCGACCGCAAGCATTCACACACTTGGTACAGGCCACGTCCACTCGACGGCATGCCTTGGTGCACTGCTCGGACCGCACACGGAGACTTGCACTCGAGGCATCCACTACCAGACCCTTCAAGGCTGCCCGGCCCGCACCCAGACCTGGAAAGACTCCCGAATCTTATGGATGGGCATGGCCACATGATCGATTGGAGCCCCGGTGCATTCCCCCGGCGGGTCCTCAGCCAAGCCCTCGGGTTGGCTGTCTTGCAATGCAAGCTGCTGCACAGCTGGCACCTGCCGTTGCTGCTGTTGCTGCAGACCCCGGCAGTGACTTTGGCCATTCTCGTGTTTGGTGAGCTTCTGCTGACAAGTCGAGCTCATGAAGGCGATCTCCCGGTTACAAGGGATGCACCTGTACACGACCCGAGGCGTGAAGCTTTTGTCCGTCTGGACATAGACATCGGCACGATGCTCTCTGATGTATTTGTGAAGACTCCATCTCACCTCGCCCTTCTTTGGCCTCCCTGGCCGATGCACCTGCTCAGCCTGAGGAGAGTCTGGGTCTGCTGCAACGATCTGAGAAGGCTGTGGCTGCGGTAGCTCCGGGCTCACATCAGCTGCCAGGACTTGCTGCCGCAGGGTCACACAAACTGCACAGGTCAAGACCAAGCTGGGATCGTGGACCCCCTCCAGGAATGCATGCCAATGTCCTGCCCCATGTGGAGCATGCATCTGCTCGTGCTTGCTCTGGAAGCCAGGATGAGTCAATGACTTCTCGAGACAAAGAGCTGTGGCCCTCCGATGAATTTTTGTTCTTTGTGGCCTTGCTGACCTTTGCATCCTTTGCCTGGGAAGCTGCTCGCGAACGTTTCGGAGCACGGCTACGCTTGGTGAGCGAGCGAGGTGCGCTGGCCTCGGATCCACATTCACCGGGTGTCCCCTCCACAGGAGCTCTGGATGCTCGTCGCGACGGTGTTGTAGGAGCCTCTGGCTGGGCTGCCTTGCTTGGAGTCGAGGTTGGCGGCTTCGGCTGAGCAGCCTTCGCAGTCGAAGATGAAAACTGGCCGGAGTGAGCATGCTTCGGATCTGAGGACGGTTGCCTAGGCCCGGCAGGCTGTCCGGCCTTCACATGCTTTCGAGGCCCAGCGGACGGGGTTGATGCATCATCGGGCCTGCTGCCGGTAGCACTGGCCTGTGAGACTTCAAGAAGCTTCTCGATGTGCTCGTCGGTTATGTCTTCGGGCGCTAAGCAGCTCGGCAGACCCTGACCGCAGGCTACCAATCCTAGCAAGCGATCCATGACCACGACAACTCGGTGCCCACAGCACCATTCATTTGCCTGGCGAGGAACTGATGCACGCTGCAGGGGCGACCCTGAGTACTTGCCCTCCTCTTGCAGCTGCGACACAAAGGCAGCTGCATGATTGAAGCACACTTCACTGGAAAGTCCGTCGTAGACCCATGCTTGCCCGCCGTGCAAGGCCACGACTGCGTAGTGATCTGAAGAGTAGACCAATCCTATGATGAGCGGTGCAGCAGGCTGAAACCTCAGTGTGGAGAGGTCTCCGGCATTGCAAACATTCACACACCTGGGCCAGGACGGGCCGTGGTGACCTGTGGCCATGGCAACCGTGGCTCGAAGGCACTGTGCATAGTCCAACCTTGCGCATACGGCATGTTCCGCAGCAGCACTGCAGCCACAGCGGGCCCGTCCATGTCGGCAGTTGTCTCTGGGAGTTCTCGCTTTACCGAAGCCCTGTCCTTCTTGATCGCAGGCGATGCTGGCTCAGTGTTCTCCAGGCAAATGCCAGCTGTCACAAGCGCCTGGCACCAGTCTTCCGATGGGAAGGCTTCAACACATGCTTGGAGCAGGGAAGTCTGCTCAGCATCAGGTGAGGCCACCCTGACATCCTGGGGGGCAGCTAGCTCCAAGCAACCAAAGGCAGGCAAGTGCTGCGTCCAGGCCACGGGATGGCCCCCGTCTAAGAAAGCAAGTGCCGCTGCAGCAGTACAGAAAACCCAACGTTCCAGATGCCGATTGTGCTCCCAGAGCATCACAGTCTCGCTAAGATAGTATCGCATAACACTGCAGAACTCCACGAGCGAGGTTTCGGCAGCTTCACGACGGCTTGTCAGCGGCAAGCACTGATAAAGCAAGTGACGACTCACATCGTCGAAGCTTTTCCTGAGTTGGACAAAGCTCGGGCAACACGATTTTGGGCATCAGTGGCATCTGCTATCTTCACAACCCGCATGCTCGGACAATTGCAGTACGAAGCTCAATCTCGCCAGCAGCTCTGAATGCGAAGTGCGGCACGTCTCCTCCAGCCTCTGCCAGAAGCACTGCCATGGACGTCGCGCCCCGGAGCTGGCCAGCAGATCACTCACCTGCACGACTTTGAAGGGGGGGCCACTCACTCTTCGGCTAATAGGAGCCTATTAAAACCCTCACAGGAACCTCCTCACCCCGGACCTATTTCAGTGGCACCAGACCGAATGTACTACGTAGGGTTGTTTAGGGTTTATCCAGGGGGTGGTCAGGGGGGGTCACTCACTCTTCTGCTAATAGAAGCCTATTAAAACCCCCATACGAACCCCCTCAACCCAGACCTATTTCTCTGTGAGGAAATACTGTGATCTGCTAGTAGGGTCGACTACGACAGTGTTGGGGGATGCTAAGCACGGGTTCACGTATATTCACGTTCTACCTATCACAGTCTTGATTGGGGCTACACAAAGCCCTTGTGGAGTGCTGGGAGGGTTCATGGAGGGGGGGGTGACTCACTCTTCTGCTAAAAGAAGCCTATTAAAACCCCCATACGAACCCCCTCAGCCCAGACCTATTTCAGAGGCACCAGACCTTGACGTTTTCACGTCGCACAGTATGTACTACGTAGGGTTGTTTAAGGTTTATCCAGGGGGTGGTCAGGGGGGGTCACTCACTCTTCTGCTAATAGAAGCCCATTAAAACCCCATACGAACCCCCTCACCCCAGACCTATTTCTCTGTGGGGAAGTACTGTGATCTGCTAGTAGGGTCGACTACGACAGTGTTGGGGGATGCTAAGCACGGGTTCACGTATACTCACGTTCTACCTATCACAGTCTTGATTGAGGCTACACAAAGCCCTAGTTTTGGAGTGCTGGGAGGGTTCATGGAGGGGGGGGTGACTCACTCTTCTGCTAATAGAAGCCTATTAAAGCCCCCATACGAACCCCCTCAGCCCAGACCTATTTCAGTGGCACCAGACCTTGACGTTTCACGTCGCACAGGATGTACTACGTAGGGTTATTTAGGGTTTATCCAAGGGGTGGTCAGGGGGGGTCACTCACTCTTCTGCTAATAGAAGCCTATTAAAACCCCCATACGAACCCCCTCAACCCAGACCTATTTCCGTCGTCACGGTGCCGCTACACATAATGATTAGAAGCCTATTCAACTCCCCGATACGAACACTCTGGCCGATGTCTGAATCACACCCCGCTACTAGCGGGGCCTGATGTTCTCGCTTGATGTGCACAGCCGCATCTGCAGATTCGTCGCGAGCCTGGCGAGGCGGTGTTTTGCTTCCTTCCAACTGATCTGCCCCCAAGAGAACAGGAGAAGTGACTGTATGTGAGTCTGCAAGTCCAGAAGATGCAAGCAGCATGCAACACAATCCCAAGCATCAGTACATTTCTCTTCCGAAGCCCACGGAAAGCTTCGATCCGCACCGTTATCGGGCGTGTTCTCAGAGGCACCCCGCCCCGAGAATCCGGAACCTAGACAAAACCTAGTCAAGACCTCTTGCAATCGCTGGGCGCTGCTTTCGGCTGCTGTGCAATGTCAGGGCTCAATGGGCTCAAAGGGCTGAATGGGCTGAAGCATGACATCTCCGACATCACAGACCAATCGGGCTGCATCACGAACCCACCCTCAGTTGGCAACGGCTTCCTCGGGCTCCACGATCCCTTCTGATTCCGCTTGCGCCGTTTGGGTGGGCTCGGGAAGTCTGACATGTCTGAAATCGCAGACCAGTCGGGCACAATGAGTGGCACAGCTGTTGATTTTCCTGCTGCTAGCGGCGAGAGGCTCGAAATCTCTGACATCACGGAGCAGCCGGGCTCGCGGATCGGCGAAGTCACTGAACTTGTGACTGTTGTCGATGAGAGTACAATGGTTAGGCTTCTGGATGACTTGTCCAAACTCTTCTCGAAACCAGACGGTCCCACTACAGGAAGAGACGCCAACCTGAAGGGCCGCAATGCCAAAGACTCCATGGCGACCGACGCACGACTCTACCCGGTGACTGGTACTCAGAGATCAAAGGATCTGCCGGTCTGCCTCCTGTAGTACTGTTGCAACCTGATGCACCGCTACAGCACTGATCACACTCGGAGTTTGGGTTTCCGGGGCCTCGAGCTTAGGGTGTAGGGCTATTTAGGGTTGGCATTCAGTGGCCCATGGCGGCCAAAACACAACAGGCTTCTCCTACCAGTACTTGTCCTTCTGTTTTGGGAATGGTGCAATCGCCGCTCTGCAAGCAATCTGTCGTACATGCTATTACATGGTAGTACATGGTGCTCAAGTCTGGAATGTACATTCTAGATTCTAGAGTCTTGCAGCATGTGGCGCATGCGAATGGAACGAGACGCCTGAACCCCCGTGGGCACTTGCCCCTGCGGTGACCACAAGCCAATCAAGACTCACCGCATGCATACATACATACATACATAAACATGCATACAACACCCCTTCCCAGACCTATTTCTGGGACCCCCCCCGCACTCCCCGAATATAGGTCCCGGCCACCCCCCCAGCAAGACCTATTATTAAACAGGGGTGATGGTATAGGGGGGGGTGGAGTGTGCGGGAAAGGGGTGGGGGGCGTTGGAGCTGCAGCTGGAGGGACGGCCAGGCGTCACACACAAGGCCAGCATCGTACGCAAGACATGAATCCTACAACGTAGCGTCCTGCTCCTGCTTCTATTAACCTTAACCTAAACTTCAAACCCTGCTAAATGCAGGCTCTAAGCATAAACCGGAACATAAACTGTCAACCCTAACGAGCCTACACCCCAAACCCTCTCCAAGCCCTTGTCAACTCGAAGCCTTATACCTGTTAACCCAAAGCCCTAAACCCAAACTCAAAAGCTTAAGGTAGACCCAAAACCCCAAAACCCCCGCAAGCATCCCGCAGGGGGAAAAGGGAACCCACACTCCATCCCACAGGAGGGGGGGCATCCTGGACCATAGACCATGGGGGGGGGGCAGGGGGGGGGCAGGGGGGGGGGGGCGCGGAGCGCGTGACCATCTATGCCTTCGTTTCCGACGGAAAGCTAATGTAGTGTTGAGATTTTGTCGTGCTCGCGACTCGTGTGCAACCACTTCAGCTCCCACTTGCATCCCTCGCCTCTGCTGCTCCCTGCAGCAGCGCGGAGCAGTTGCCAGCGACGAAACCATCAGGCAAAATGGGCGCTGCGCCAATCTCCTCCAGCATGACCGCAGCATGCGACAGCGCCTAGACAGGATTTCATGAGTCGGTTATCAGGAGATACGTCGAATAGGATGAACAAGCACAGCTTGTGGTGTGACAGTCTTCGCCTGAGCGCCCCCACCTCGCAGAGGCTGCGAAACTCCGAGAACAGGGACCCGAGCTTTTGTTCTGCATCTCCGGCAGAAGGGTGGCATGCGAACCTGAAATAGACATCCAAGTTTGTCCAGCTTCCGCGCACAGCAAGGTCAATTCTGCTGCCCAGTTACTTGATGCGTGGCGCCCCCTCCGTGAGCGACTTCTCTTCAGCTGACCCAGCAGCCATATCCCTTGAGAAGCAGCTGCCAGATGCTGCCATGAGACACCACGGGAAACGGGCCAGGCTGGCGATGTCAGAGCAAAGTGCAAGGTTGGCTCATGGGTCGTCGGTGCATTTTTTCTGCCTCCATGCGCCCTCGACGTGCCGATGCTTTCTTTGTGCAGATAGCACGCAACAGACGCCTGAAGAAGAACATGCCAGCAGAATACAGGCATCTCGACAGTACCTGCCCGTGCAGGTTTTCTCGTTAATCAGCTAGGCACCACAATCGAACAGGCTGCACTATGGTGGCTTAATCCGCCGGTTGCCATCGTGCAATTCCAGGCCACTTCCTGGCCAGTGAGCACAGTGTTCTTTGCACTGTACTGGCAAATGCAGCTAGACTTCTTCGTGAGACCACATGGCATGCTACAGCAGTGGCATCTGCGTGCAGCAGATCGGCAAATGACTGGCTTGCATCTGGCGATGTATATTACATACCTTATCTCGCCGATGTACGTCGGCAGATGCTTCACGACATTATCACAAAGTTTCTCCACTTCGATTCCGTGACTCGCCCGCCTGAACTGCCAGCGTAACTCTCGATATGACTGTTGTCACAACGCTGGCAATGCAGTCACACATGGTACCATCCGAGCATGCTGCCTCGACCTCGTGTCATCTTCTGTGACACTGGCTTTCACACTTCACCACTCAGTAGTGGGTGAAAGGGCCATGCAGCCTAGAACAAGCTGTTTACTACAGAGAGAAAAACAAATCAACAACTGCTTCGGCAATGCCGCTCACTAAAATCGACCACTCGCAACTTTGCGCAGCATTTCGCGGCTTGGTGTCGCGAGGTACGTTGAAGCTCGCGGCTTACCTTCGACCACTTCGCACTTGGAGCACACAGGAGAGTGAGCAAAGCAGCATTCCTCATATCATGACCAAAGTTGCAGTGCATCGAAGGATGTGTGCTGCTCTGCGTTCTCTACAAGGCTCTCCGACATCTCCTTGGCGACACGCAAAGTCTAGCAGTTCTCAGGGCAGACTCCCAAGCAAGATGTCTCAGCCACTTTCCTGCACACGCGGTCTCCTAATATTCGGAGCGGTCCAGCTGTGCAAACGAGCTTCAAGGACACTAGCGCGCTCAGCCGAGTCCTCACGCGCCTCTCTGGAAGCAATTTGCTCAAGCGGCAGAGATTGTGCCGGATTTCTGGTAGCTGGGTCCGCTGCAGATCGCGACCAAACCCTGCAGAAGCATGCACCCTAAAATAAGTTTTGACGCTGCAAGTGAGAAAAACAATCCGCAATGCCTCATTGCCGCGAAGACCATTAGCATTGCTGATGGGCCGGCCACGAAGGCCAGGAATCGGATCTGCAAACAGTTCGAGTTGGCACAGCTTCGACGTGGCTTTTGGTATCGGACCTTGAGCCGCTTGCTCTCAAGCTTCTGCACATGGCCATCCAGCCGCTCCTGTTGTGACAACGCCTACAAGACCAAAGGCTTCCTCTCTGGGAGCCCGGCCAGCGACTCGTACCTCGGCGACGCGGCCGCGCTGTGATACCCAACAATCGAGAGTTTCGTGCTGGGGTCTGCTGCGCAGCTTCCAACTGTGGTGTGGTGTGAACCACTTGCAGACGCCGAGAGCCTCAACTCTCCCATACATCGGGCACTTCGAAGACTCTGCAGCACGTGCGCCAATCGCACACCGTGGAAATCCTCGACTGAGTCCCAGACGCTTTTTGCGACCAAGACCGCAACTCACGGTGCACTTGCTGAAGGTGCTCCAGTCGGACCACATCTGGGCTCAACGAGAAGCTACTGACCCCTGAGCCCTGCCCGAACGTGGATTCAACATCGTTGTTCCGATTTTGGCACGAGGGTTGGTCAGCCCAAGATCCGTCGTCCTTGCGTCGCGTCGAACGCAGTCCCCAACGCAGCAGGATGCAATCGAGCGACAAGCTGTGGAGAGGGGTGAGTGCTTGGCTTTCTTCTCTTGAACAAGACAAGCTCCGAATCCCCCACTTCTCGTCGCGACACCACCCCTGGATCCCCAGGCTCCATCAGAGCCAGCAAAAGCAAAGGAGACCGCATCTCGACACCAGCACCACCACCGCCACACATCGCAAAGTAAACTGGCAACTCTTGTTTGCGACAGCGCCCGGAAGCTGGGTTTCAAGGTACATTCCTTTCGTGAGCAGCTTGAGACTCCTCCATGCAGGCCATCGAAGACGCAGAAGCCTTCTTGTTTCCTCCTTCCCATGACCCTGAAGACCTGCAGATGCTCATAGTGGTGTTGCCTTGAGGGCTTGCTTCGGCCCGCCTCCCCCTCGTCCATGCTGCAAACAGCAACATGCCATCGGAAAGCGAGAGTTTTTGTCAGTTTAGGGTTACTGTAATTTGCTTGCAGCCTGCTGTGTTACTGTTTTGATTCTGATAGTCTTCACACGCCCCCCAACCATGTTCTGGATCAGGCTGGTGTTAGGTCTCAGGCAATTATACCTTGACATAGGCAGAACCTTGTAGACTCCCGAAGCAAGCAGCACGCAGCTTCACCACGTTGAGGTCACCCTTTTGCAGGCTTCCTTAAGGGTTCGGCGACGCATTTAGAATCTAGTAGTTTAGGAACGGAGAGCTAGGGCGTGCTGCCAGAAGTAAGGCCAGAATTTAAAACCGGTAACATGTAACATGCATCATGCTCAACGATATTTCTTGAAGCCATGCCCCTTCCTGGCACGAGCCCAAGCCCCGTGCGCAAATTGGCTCTCCATGACAATTCCGGGGACACTTTGCAATCTCCTCGGCATCGCCCTCCTGGCACAGCAGATCTGCTGATCTGCTGCTGCTGCTGCTGCTGCTGCTGCTGCATGTTGCAGTGTTGCAGTATCACTGCCCGAAACTATCATGTTGAGTACATGATTGACAGGGGCACTGGAGCATGCGACCGACAACTACAGGCCCACAAGCTGTAGATATCTGTAGATCTGGCACTGTCCTTGCCTTGCAGCGCCGGCCGCCACACTCGGGGACCCTGCACGCAGGTTGATTGCCACAGTTCAAAAGCCAGGACTTGTGGGGAATCCCGAGGTGATGTAACGGTCTTAAATTGAATCGAAGCCAGGCATGATCCCAGAGGCGGGCCTGACCACCCGGCGATGTCTCGTCTTCTGTCCAGCGCACTTGGAGCAAGCCTGGCTTCAACTTCAAGAGCATGGAGAAAACGAAACAGGCTTGCAACCTCGAGAGTAAATTCCGGGCTCATGGTGCTCCGGGCCCCAGGCACTCCATTCGCTCCACTTGCCCCACTTGCAGTCGACCGGCAGGCAGCTCTGCACGTCGGGAAGGGCATGTGAGTCGGGAGCAGGAGACTGGAGAAGGAGAAGACATGCAAAGGATGTGCGACAGTCTGTGGCTGCGGCAGAACGTCTGAACATGTGCACATGCCCTCCTGACAAGTGGACATAAGTGGACTGGCACACCTGCCCACAGCGGTGCGTGTTGCAGGACCGCACCTCTGCATGATGAGTCTCGCCGTGAAGACATGTTGAGACTAAGCCGCAGCCTTTTGCGTCTGAGGCCCGAGCAGTCACCAAGGCACCATCGCAGCCCCCGCCGTGTGAGCTAGCAACGCCCTCAGTAACCTCGCTGGAACGTCTGATCTTAATGCGCCGGTCTGGTGGCGGCATGCTTGAATCCGCACAAATCGCGTTCCGGGGTTGCAGCCCCACGTTTGCGCTCCTCCACACCTCCTTCGCACGCTTGGGAGCAGGAGCTCCACCTCAAGACCGACAAAGGAACCCTTCAGTCCATCACAGGGATTGAAAAAATCGAAAGACCTCCAAAAAGCCCAAAGCCTCTGAAAAACCCGAGTTGAACTGTGCCCAGGGCCCCAGGGCCCCAGCGACTCCCAGGACTTGAAGACGCAAGTGATGCCTCCCATCCTGTGAAAAGGCAAAGTCAGGTGCGCTCAGGTGCCTGGTGCTGGTCGACTCAAAAGGTCTGAGACCACCCAGGGGACTTCGTCAGAGTGGGCGGGCGAGTGGGTCGAAGGAGAGACCCGCTTCGGATTGCTTAGGTCCCGGCGCACAGGGATCACAATGCCCAGACAGGCACGCCTGGCACTGCGCATCTTGCCAGCGTGATGATGGAGGGAGACTTCCCGAGCCGTAGCCTTCTACAGCACGGACCACTGCCTTATCCTCCCCTGTACACGGGCCTGTGAATAGACTCTTTGCCCGGGCCCCCAACATATGCAATGTCTTGCCATCAAGGAAGGCTGACGTGAGATGCAAGGGCTTCTCCGCAACGTCTAGGTCTCAGAAGTCTTGACAGTCTTGAGTCTTGAGCTAAACTTGATATCGTGCTGAGAAACGATGAGACAGCGGGCCTTCGCAGCAAAGAGGAAGTTGTGGCCTCATGCACGACTCGCGACTAGGAAATGCCTGGACTGCATCATCACCTCGCTTGAAGTTGAGCTTGCGGCCGCAACCTTGTTCACCAGTTTTTAGTCTGATGCGCACCCTGGCTGCTCATGCACATAGCAGTGCACAGCAAAACGGTATCCAGCACCATCCACCAACAATTTTAGACTCTCCGAAACTGCAAGCTTGCAGAGACCTGGACTGCTGTGCGAATCGAATCGCAACCGCTTTCTGCTCCTCATGATGCTTCATCTTGGTGCACGTGCAAGCTTGGCAAGGGAACAAATGTCCTTTTCTGTCAGCAGTTGTGTTGGCTGCCAGTAGGCATTTGGCTTCGTTGCGCAAGGTCCTCTGGATCAAATCAAGACAATCGAGCCGCGCTGCTGGAGTGGCAATCGTGCCTAGTGTTGGTGGTGCCGTCTGATATACATGGGATTGCTTCTGCCTCGAAGGCTATGCTGGTGCTTGACGAAGCACCGCGCGAATGCCAAACACGGCTTGGGGCCCCCGCTGCAAAAGCTTGGCTCGCTCCATATCATTGAAGGGAGTCGCTGACGGAGCTGCTGTTGTGGGTTGCGTTCCCACCGGCTGCTGGTGAACATAGTGGTGCCTGCGACATGATCAGCAATCACAGAGCCACTCGTTCGCAGAGGCGGAGAGTAAGCGCGACTCGATTTTGCGAAGGACACAAGAAACCTGAGATTACCTGAGGGGGAGACACGCTGACGGTTGGAGCCTGGCAGAAAGCTCACGCGAAGCGTGATCAAGTCTGGATCCAAGAACTCCACCGGCCTGCCCAAGCCAGGGGACGTTGAAGACTTGCAGGCCTGGGTTACGGGTTACAATTAACATTCGCTTTGTGTCTTTGTGTGGCATTGGCCCTCAGCCACAGGGTGTTGAGACTCTTTTGCCCAAGAGTACAGCAAGCTGAACAGTCAAGGAATGCTTTGACATGAGTGCAAAGCTGCATCGCAGGTGCGCATGCATGCGCTGCTTCACAGAAGCCCCTGTCTCTACCAGGAAGACTTCAAGTTCGCAGATCCAGGCCGGTCCTTCTGTGTTCCCTGCGACTTCTCCCTTTGGACGGATAGCAATGCCTACTCAAGCACCGGCGGGCCGGCACGGCTCATGCAGGTATAAGCCCCCAAACGAGCTCTCGCAGTTCAGCAAGCGCTTCTACAGCGCTGCGGCTCTGCCCAGCACTGAAAAACACGTTTAGCATTGCCTGGATCGCCACGACATCGCACTGGAGCTTCGAATTCTTCAGCTCAGCCAGAAAGACACCCGCCAGCTCCCACTCGCTCCCATCCGCCTCAGCAAGGAGCTCTGGCTCTGGAAACAAACACACACTCGAACACCCAGGCTTCCCTGGTAGGTTGGTCTTCAGTGGTCGTACTCACTCAGCGAAGAGTTCATGACTCAGCTGAGACACTTCGAAAAGAAAGTTTTGCCGGAGGTCTTCAGGAGGCTTGGGTTCCGTTGCTGCTGTTTAATAGAAAGTAAGCCAAGAAACACCTTGAACCTTTGGCCTGAACTCGCAGTCAGAATCGCACTCGGAATCACCAATGCACAACGACGATGTCATTGTAGAACCATTGCACAGCTTGCACTATAGAGGACGTCACAAACTCTTTTGCAGGTACAAGAGGATGATCAGTCCTCTTTTCCCATGTCACTGGCAGCTTCGTTGGACACAGTCCCAGTGACATGCTGTGTCCCCCTGCAAGAAATTCCGCTTGCACAACCTTAACACAACGCACTCTGTATCCCGTTGTAGTTTGGGGTCCCCACACGCACTGACCTCCGGTGGAGGGGCTCGACTGCTTTTCAGACTCCTCTGCGCTGCTTGGTCCGGTTGCTTGTAAGGATCTTCCCTTAGTCTTCGTGAAACCAACACAGATGCCGTCCTTGCCAATGATGGTGGTCTTCTGAACTCTGCGAAAGCGACGTGTGAGAGCGGCGTAGGATGATGTAGTCCGGGTTGCTGCGTTGTTCTGCTTCGCACTGCTGGCAATTGCTTGTGCAGTTGACCCCTCCAAACATGTAGCGTGCCTCTCTCCGAAGTTTCCGCATGACATATTCAGCCAGTGCCAATAGCTGCACAAGGCTAAGTTGGTTGACAGTCTGGTACATGTCGTCGATCTGCGCACTACCTACTTCTCGACGTGGTTCTTCTCGGCCTTCTGCATCCCAGGTACGCCGTCTGCGGTGCATTCTGCAAAGCTTGCTGGCTGGAGGCGAGCGAAGGACACAAGGACGAAGCTGCGCTTGAGACAAAATTCAGGGCCTAGACCTAGACGTTCAACCAACCAAAACATGTCAAAAGGAAAGCTTGCCTGCAATGCGCTCTTGTGATGGAAGGCACGATTGCTTTTTGCTCCTCTGCATCGGTGGTTCAGGATGCTCGTTAGACTGTGTTCTGAGTCTCCATGATACCAACAAAGATGCCGTCCATGTCAAATGTGATTTTCTTCGGAGCTCTGCGAGTGTGATGTATGTGCGCAGCTTTGGACGACGTAGTTGGGGTCGCAGTAGTTGGCGGCCTCACATTGTTGACATGGTATGGTGCACCTGACACCACCGAACATGAACCGGGTTGCGCTCCGAAGTCTGCGTGCGACATACTCAGCCAACTCCAAGAGCTGTACGATGCTGAGTTGATTGACGATCTGGTACATGTCGTTGAGCTGGGCTGTCGGCACTTTTCGGCGTAGCTCTACTTGATTTTCTGCATCCCATGTGCTACGTCAACGGTGCATGTTGCGAGGATTGCCGGCTGGATAGGAAGGAGTGCCGCGACGGGAGGAGAGGATGCTGTGCTTGAGGCAAGCTCGACGCAAACGATGAAGCTCAAAACAAAGTAAGGCACAGCGCAAAGATATAACCAAACTAAAAAGAAATAACCGAACAGAAAAAGAACCCGAACTTAAACCTTAACCAAGCACCATCATGAGTGAGCAACTTGGTGAGTCTTGCTTTTGTCCACCAGTCGGCGGTGTCGCTGCTGATGCTGAATTTCTGCGCCACAGCGAATTAGGGAAGGTTGGAGCCAAGCCGCTTGAGGTAGTCTACGTCTTCTTTGCATACGTCCTCGACACGATTGGTGGTGTAGGCTGAAAGCACAAGCCGGTCTGACTTCCAAGGACACGTGCCATGTAGCATGAGGGGACTGAACTCAACTCCGGGTAATCGAAGCTCCATGTTCCGACCACGATGCTGTCCATTTGGCGATAGATCTGGTCCATCATCTTCTTGTATCCATAGGTGTCCTTGTCGAAAGCTTGACACGGGAATGACAACATTGAGGCTGCCGGGCTTGTTGTACTTGTCTTGATGCGTGCGCATGTGTATGTTGCATAGCAAAGACACGGTTGAGAACATTGTGGGGGCGCAAGCGCGAACCATGTAAGCCAAAGCAGCGGCCGTCCATGGGCGTTGTCTCGTGTTGGTGCGTACTCCGACACTGCCTGCATGGTAGTAGGTGCCGACGGTGTAGGCTCTGGCTTGTAGTCCGGCTCTGGTGAGAGCAGACGCTCGGAGGAACTCTGGGTTGAGTCTTGTTGACATCCATGGGAACACTTCAAAAGGTATGTATCTTTGTTGCAGAAGTCGTTCACATTCTTGCTCGACGGGATCCTCAGTGGCTGATGGAATTGTAGGTGTCGTCATGTCCAGTGGCAGGCCATGCGGTAGTCTGACCTTGTACTCCGCCACCTCTGAGTCTGTGTCAATGTCGGTCAGGGCTTGAGCATCTCCGACAGCGCTGGTTCGCTGCTTCTTACACTTCTTTACCCGGCTATTCGCCCACTCAGCTTGAACCTAAAACAAAAAGCAAAAGGAAAGGCGTAGCTGCATTGTACCTGAAGATCTGGAGTGCGTTTGGCCACAATAGTCGCTCTGCGCGTTTTGTCGAGGAGATGCGCGAAGCCTAAGTCGCAATACAAGTCGTCCAGCTCTTGCATTTGTTTCTCTGCCACTTCGGCTGGGTAGGCGATGGTTCGGATAAGGTGTTTCCTGCTGTGGTACCCGCTGAGGCGCAGTTTTGTAGATCCGGCGGACTGTGGTAGTCTGTATCTCCAAGGCTCTCGGTGTAGGTTGTAGGTGATGCGTCTGTCGTCCGCGTGGATGCGGAACCCTAGGAAGTCATCGCTGGCTTCATCCTCAAGTTGCACCGGCTTCTTGTAGAAGTGCAGCGATGCCAGTTGTTGGATGTACGGGTTCGTTTTGAGTTCCTCCTCATCGACGAATCGACGATGATAGCTCTGTCGTCCACATACCGGCGAATCCAAAGCTTGCTGACAAACTGCCCAAACATTCGGAGCCATGTGATTTCTGTGGCCACAATTGCGCACGTGGAGAGAATGGGGCTGATTTGGTTCCCCATGGATGCGCCGCATGTTTGCTGGAACACCTCTCCAATGGCGGTGAAAGCACATGCGTCGAAGCTGAACTGTATGATGGCCGGTATGTGCTGTGCCTGAACCTTAACCATGTTGGACTTGACGCTGTAGGTTGATTTCCCTGAGTGTGCTGGGGCCATCTTGCTGTAGGGGTCGACGGTGATTGTAGGATTGTGGTTGTCCAAGAACTGCGACGTGAGGAAGTGGATGCTCTAAAGGATGTCCGATTGTGGTATAGAATTAAAGAATCCGACCAACTCGTGATTGAGAATTTTCAGGTGGCGCTCTGGGTACATGTGTTCGCTGTTGTTAAAGAGCTGGTGAATTTCCTCCCAAAGTTGCGGTGAGCTTACGTCACCAAAATGGCTGGGCCACGTTATCCTCAACATCTGTTGTAAGGCCAAGGCGGCGATCTTCAGCAATTTGCCGATGCACGTGTTACTATACGCGATAATGGTCCTCCCTTCGGCCCACTGCTTTTTGCGTTTCATAAGAATATACCCATACGGCAGCGGCTTCTCGTAGGCAAGGAGTTTGCAGTAGTGCTTGGCAACCTCTTCGGGAGTTTTGCTTTTCATGTCGCGTTTTATATCTTCCGGGTCCTTGTCGAGCAACCGGAACGTCTGCTGATCCATCCATGTGTTGTGTGCTGCCTGGTTGTAGACGTTGGGGCAGTATATCATGAGATGTGCGTTCGCGTGGTCCTCGTTGTGGATGATGTAGTCCTCGATGATCATTGCGAGGATGTGCTTGGCCAGTCGGCGCGTGAGTCTTGGCTCTTTTTCAAGTTGTAACTTGTGCTGCTTCCATTCTTGCTCAAAGAATTCGTCAAACTCGTCAAGGATTCGTTGGTCTTGAGGAAATTGGTGATGTCTTTAGCCATCGCTGCATTTGTTCTTGATATTGTCGTTGTAGTCGTTGTTTGGATGAAAAGAAAGCGTTGCCGGCTCCAACGTTGCTAAAGGCTTTATGCGTTGTAGGTAGCTGTAGCGTTTCCAGGCCTGTGACCACATGTCCTTCATGTAGGTGAGCTTGCGGGTGCTGCTTTGCAAATTTTGCGCACTGGCATGCTATTGGTTTCCAATGTCTGCCCATATCGGTGACTTTCCGCTTGTGGTTCCACAATACCTGCTGAAGTGACGGGTGGGTGGCTTCCTGGACCGTCTTTGCGGGTAGGTGGAAGGGCACCAAAACGTGTCTGTGTCTTCTACTGAGTGCGATCAGGTGTTTCTGTAAGTTGGTTCGAAACGCCGAATGAGACAAAAAAGGAACTTTGACGGGCTTGTTGTGCTTTGGGACTGAAGCATTCTTGAACTGTAGAACTTTGCGTAGACGAGCTCGCGCTTTGGATTGGCGAGTCTGTACAATAATGTCACCGTTTCGGAGTCGTGCTTGCCGCTCCGCAACTCCTTGGATGCCTCATACTCCTGCTTGGTGTCGCTGGAAATGGCGTAGAGGATCTTCCAGAATTGTGCCTGTTTGGGTGGAACGTTGACGAGTGAAGGTCGCTGCCCTTGTGGTCTGCGGCGTATCTTTTTGAATAACTGTCGAGCAAGAGAGTCTGGTGGATGTCGAAGGTGCGGCTGCTGGTGTTTGGGAACTGGACCATGGGCTTTCTTGACCAGCTCCTTCGTGACAAACGGGTAGTTCAGTTTGGGCTGCCATCGCTGTATAAGACAGTGTTCTTCGGCCCAAGCGTCAATGTACTCCGAATGCTGCGAAAGGAGGATGGTGCTGAAGTGTTGGTAGGTCTGTGAGTCGTTCCAATGTCGAATGGCGATCTCGGTCTTGGGTAGTTTAAGTTGTTGAAGTTGCCGTAGTTTTGCAACTCTGTTGTACTCCCTCTTGGCGACGGTGATGTTGGTGGATCCGATGTAGCAAAAGGATACATCTCTGGTGGCTGTAGCGTATGCTTGCTTGTTGAGCCTGGGAAATAAGAGCTTGATCTATACGGCACAAGGTTTGGAGAATTTGTCGAACGTGTACAGCTCTGGGACCGCGCCTTTTTCTCGAAGTCGCTCTTTGGGTTGCTGCGCTGCAGGCGATTGCCGCATTCGATGAAAGGTGAATACTAAATGAATCAGGCCTACCAACCACATCAAAACTTCTTTATTAATAGCAAGCACATGAAAAAGCAAAAACTGCCCCCAATCTACTATATTTGCTGCAGCTGCTGGAAGATGCTGGCGCTTTCCTGATGCGTCATCGGTCCTCTCAGGACCTTTTGCACATGTCACACAGCAAGGTAGGTGACCGCCGCGATCAACTGCTGGAGGTTCTTTGGTGATGCCTTGGGCGCTGTGGTAAGCGACAACGGTAATCCCCATCGTGTTGCCATCTCCTGCAGCTCTGCTTTGGTGCGCTTGGCATTCTACAGGATCTTCTGCATCGATTGGATGTGGGTGTCAACCTCTGCGTGTTTGTCCTGAGGGAGGCCTTTCTTGAGCGCGGTGACCCAGGTCGTGATTGATGTCATACTGGAGACGGTGGCTCGTGCCCGGTTGCTCGTAGGATGTTTTGGGGCTCGGCGAGGATGTGCTCGTTGCGCTTCTTGGCATCTCCTTTGGTCAGGCGTCTGCGTTTACTGCTGGGCTGCGATGGCGGCTTTGAGGTCCTTGACGTTGATGCCGGAGCTTCTGATTGTGCGTCTTGTAGTGGAAGAGCCTTCTTGGGGGTGACCTCCAGCCCGGCACTGCGTACTTTGCAGCCTGTTCTTCCAAGGCTTGCATGCGTTGTGCTGCTTGATTGTCGCCGTCCGTGTTTTTCATGGCATAGTTGCGAACCTGCGCCCATGGCTGCATGGCCTCAAAGATGACGTCCACCAGAGGGGCCACGAACGTGGTGGCCTCCTTGACTTTGTCCGGCGCCTTTTCGTTCTTGTCCTTGTAGATGGCCTCAACGGTGGCGTCAACGTCGATGTTGCTCTCGCGAAGCTTCTTCTGCAACTGGGAGAGGAAGACACTCTCGGCAACATTGCGTGTTAAGATCATGCCGGTGAACTTGCGCCGTGGGAAAGTCCCCGAAGTCCAAACTCCTCCATGCCATGTCTGCAAAGGTGAGCGACTGTAACATCCCGTACATCTATGCCTGCCAGGCCCTTTGCGCGACTCCATGCTGTTGGCTCCACCGTTTTGCGGACGGTGGACTTGAAGACGAGGCTGGTGTCGTAGTGTTCGGCGTCTTCCTTGAAGTGGTTCGGGAGCGGAACTCTGGCTGAGGTATTTGGCGGAGATGCCGTAGTTGGTGCTTCCGGAGGTGTACTTGGTTGTGGCAATGGCGCTGTCTGTGCTGGAACTTTACTCGGAGGAGGTAGCGGAGGCCATGCCGGTAGTGTCGTCTGTGGCCACCAAGGTCCCTCTTTGGATCCTGAAGCGGCGCTCGCCGCGCCTCTGTTGTCTTGATTTTGCGCCTGCCACCATGTTGCGTCCTGCGATCCCTGAGACCAATACCCTGTCCACGCATTGGCCATGTTTCGGCGAGGCTGATCACAAAACTTAAACCACAAACTCAAAAGGCTTGACAAAAATCGGGGTTTGCTGCGAGGTCTAACAAAAGGCGCAAACTGCTACCAAGGCGAACATTTACAGGCAACAAAGTGGCAGGCTGGGTGCGATCTTTTGCTGCGAAAGAAGCACGGCGTGGTCGTCGCAGCTTTGTAGTCGTATGCGAGGAAGAAGTGCATCGGGTTGCCGCTTACAGGAGCGCTAGTCTTCCTTGCGGGACAATGCCTGCAGCTCTCTGGTACTGCGTGATGAGGGTGTTCGCAGTAGAAGGCGGCGTCATCAGCTGCTCACACGCAATGCATGTAAATCAATATCTGTTGCGAGATACGCAATAATCTTTTGCATTCGCATCCTTGAGCACCTCGTCCTCTTCGGTGGCAACCCGGGCTGTTTCACGGGATCCGCCATGGTGCTTGCGAAGCGATCCCCATGCTCGACCTCCCACGACTATGCCTGCCAGGTTCTTGGCGCTTCTGGTAGTGTTGAAGAGCACGCGGGTCAGGTTATGTTCATCGATTTCTGACCCGGGCATTTCGTGGCCTAGCGCATAAAATATGTTGCAGCCGAAGGCTGCCACTCCATGCGCGTTCATCGGACGCATGTCTCGATGCTTCAACATATGCCATAATGCCCCAATGTCCGTGGCGTGAGACCAGAATAAAATATTCTCTTGTCTGGTCGGTAGAGGAGGATCCTGCAATGTAAGGTCCGGGGACTGCAAGAAATAGAATCTCCTCATGGTCTCAGGCGTTGGATCTCCTCCTCTGTCCCATGTGAGGTCATGCTCAAGGAGCACTCCCGAGGCAATTTTGAACTCGGCCGCTGCGCAGAGAGCCTCCACATACTGCTTGGTGGTGTCATGTATGGGAAACTGCGGGATCTCGATCTCACCCCAATTGACCCGAAACTGCTTAATAGTCTTGTTGAATGTAACGCGCGAAGGCATCCGCGGGGTCTCGTAGAGCTTGGGGTCGATCTTGAGTTTTGAAGTCGTAGGCGCTGCTGCCTGAGATGTTGATGCCTTGGGTGCTGCAGTCGTGCCAATATTGCCGGAGCCCGATACCCTTGATGCCTGCTGTCTCGATGTGGTAGGTGGCATAGCACTTGCGCGTCTGGAAGACCTAACCGTCCTGGGAGTGCGGGATCTGGATGTTGTCCTGGGAGTGCGGGATCTGGATCTTGTCTTGGGAGTGTGGGATCTGGATCTTGTATTGCTCCCCCGTGGTCTTGACTTCAAAGTTGCCCTTGGCCGGGAAGGTCTGGAGTCGCTGCGACCTCGTGCTGTAAAGCTGCGCCTCGGGTCCCGTGATCGGGAGCCCAGGCGCTGGGCCGACACCGCGCTTTTCTTCCGAACAAGTAGCGGCCTGGGAGGTCCGGAGGATGTGCTGTGCGGTGTCATTGGCAAAGCCGGCAACCCTGTTCTTGGCCTGGGGGTAGGTGCTACCTCACCTGCTCCAAGTTGATCACTTCGTTGGAAGTAGGGCCGAGGGGACATCGTGCGTCCCTCGTGCTTCCTGAATGCCGAAAACGGCTGTGCCTTCCGCTTGGCCTTGGCGCCAGATCCAGTTGCGCTCTGCCCGGTCTCGGTGTCCTCCGCAACATCTGTAGATGATTGTGCTGCGCCATGCGGGTTAACTTCTTGGAGAGCTCGAAGCTCCGCCGGGTTGAACAACAAACTTGGCGAGCGTCTTGTTCCTGCAGATGTTGCTCCGGCTTCTTTTCTGATCCGCTTGAGGGGAGGAAGATTTCGTCCTTGCGGTGCAGGGCTTGGCATGCTCGTTGGCTGTTGCTGCGGTACCAGAGCTGCGAAAGCTTGCATGATCTCTTCCGGCTTTGCATCCTTGATTTGAATATTGATCTCCATGGCGCAGGCGGCCTCTACGCAACAGCTACAACCAAACCCAAGACCAAAAGACAAAAACCGAGAGAAAAACTTGATGAAAGCCCAGTGTCCTGTGCATTAGCAGCTTTTTTACCCTAGCGCAATCTTAAGCTACGAAACTTTCAGCATGACATCAGTCAGATTTCAAGATGAATCTGATTTCAAGACGGATTTCACAATAGATTGCGAGCTGGAAGCTGCTTTGTCATCATCGAGATCATGTAACTCTTCCCATCCTCAATATATGCTTTCCATTCTGTTAGCGTTTTGGGGGTTTGCAGATCTAGCCAAGGATCACCCGTCCCACTCGGGGCACTGTTTCAAGGGATACTGCCTCGAGAGCAGCGGTAATGGCGCCGTGACGGATAAGGCCATGCCCATTTCACACTCGAACATCCAGGCTTCCCTGGTAGGTTGTTCTTCAGTGGTCGTACTCACTCAGCGAAAAGTTCATGACTCAGCTGAGACACTTCAAAAAGAAAGTTTTGCCGGAGGTGTTCAGGAGGCTTGGGTTCCCTTGCTGCTGTTTAATAGAAAGTAAGCCAAGAAACACCTTGAACCTTCGGCCTGAACTCGCAGTCAGAATCGCACTCGGAATCACCAATGCACAACGACGATGTCATTGTAGAACCATTGCACAGCTTGCACTATAGAGGACGTCACAAACTTTTTAATTTTTTGCAGGTACAAGAGGATGATCAGTCCTCTCTTCCCATGTCACTGGTAGCTTCGTTGGACACAGTCCCAGTGACATGTTGTGTCCCCCTGCAAGAAATTCCACTTGCACAACCTGATCACAACGCACTCTGTATCCCGTTGTAGTTTGGGGTCCCCTTCACCTTAGACCTTCCTTCGGGAGGTAGTCTATGCAGCTGAGGCTGCTGCGCAGGCCGCGATGGCAGCACTGAAAGTCACAATATCAGTCTGCATACAGCTTCTTGCCACTTCGTTTGACAAAGCCACAGCTTCTTGCCATTTTCCTCCCTTCTGACATGAGCTGATCGCAACATTCAAAGTGGTCGTGGATCCTCTCAAGCAACTTTCAGCCATGTCCTCCAGCAAGTGCAGTGCATGCTGCCATTTCCCCAGGCTCTCGCAAGCACTGATGGCCTTCGGACGAGTACACTACGAGTAGTGCTTGCTTTATCGCAACTTGCTCTAAGAACCAGAAACACCAAGCCACTAAGCATCCCTTCTGTCTGCTCAGCAGTCGCCCAAGATGAGCCCTCTTCTCCCTAGTTTGCAGGCCGGGGCACGGCGTTGTAGAGAATAACATCTGTCGCGAGAAGCTCATCCTTGACGTTCCAAAACAGAAGAAGCGCGTGTTGCCACTGCTCGGATTTTTCACATGCACTAATGGCTGCACTATACACAATGACGTCACTGCCAACTGTGTCGATGCAATCTCGCAGCAGTTGCAAGGCCGCTTGCCACTGGTAGGATTTCTCACAAGAGCTGATCACGGCACTATAGGCAATCACGTCGCTTCGGCACCGTTGAGCAATAAGCTCATCCAGAAGTGCTACGGCTTGCTCCCACTGCGCACTTTTCTCGCAAGCGCTGATGCTCGAGCTCCAGGTGACCACCTGCTGCTCCAGTGATTGCCAGCTGACTTCAGAGCACAAGCGCAGAGCTTCCTGCCACTGCTCACTGTGACTGTGGCTGCTGATCGTGGTGTTATAACTGATGACATCGGCCCGAAGGCCGCCATCCCACAGCTCCGCCATCAGAACTATTGCTGTCTGCCAGAGCGACTTGGCTTCGCAGGCACTCAGCAAGGCATTGCAAGTGATGAGGTCCATGAGCTGGCGCCTCCTCACCTGCAGCCGCGAAGCCATGGCTAGTCGCCATCGGCTTCCCTTGTCGAGAGCTGTAATGACTGCGTTGTGGATGATGTTGTCGGTCTCGATGTTCTGCAGTTGAGGCTCCACAAGAAAGTGCAAGGCATGTCTCCATCTCGAAGTTCTGGCGCATACAGTGACCTTGCCACTGTAGGTCACAATGTTCGGCTGTAGGAGTGCGCATTGTGTGGCTCGGTTCCAGGAAGCCCGCCTGCACACGAGCATCGAGGAACTACAGAAAATTGGCGGCATGGAAGTGTGCACACACAGATCAGACCACTGAGGACAGCCGAAGTACCAGGACAAGCAACGGGGAGATACAGGCTGACCAAGGCCAAAAGAAGCCAAGCTGGTCTTATAGTGTCACGTCACTGGCCCCGAAGAGACGTTTGCTAATGCCAATCAAGAGTGTTCTAGCCAAGCTGGCACGTGGTTAAAGAGCCCAAATTGTACTGACATCCAGCTTAACCCCGACAGGAATGATGTAAGGTCCGAAACAAGATGAACGGCAAGCCATATCTTTCGCGAAAGGAAACCCTAAAACAAACGCTGAATCGCATGTATGGCATCTTCAGAGGTTGATGATGGGTAGACAACCTTCCAACCAAAACGGCTCGATGAGTAGCGAGGGCTATAAAGGGTAATGCGAGAGCTTCTCGGAAGAACCGAACATTCTGAAACGGGTGACGGCCATGAAACCCTCAAATGGACTGACAGGCAGCTGACCTCAAACGCTTAAAAGCAGTGATGTGTAGCAATTTCAAGCCCGGCGATGCAAAGCAACCCAGACGTACCCAGAACTTAAAGTGAAGAATCCGGCATGCGAGAACAGTGATGCATCTGGCAGAATCGCAGAAACCCATGCAGTCGGAAACCAGCCATGCCTCAGGATTCCTGCCACTTGCAGAGCAGGATTTGTAGTTTGACAGCCTCCTCTAACCTGAAGGTTTACAAAGGAAGGAGTGCACGTTTAACTAAGTTGATTCCTGTGTTGCTTCCTGCCTGCAGAGTTGGTGGAATGCCTTTGCTGAAGCTGCTCCCGGCTGCAGCCCTTGGTCTTGAAGTTGCGCGAGTCGGCCCACACAGAGCTGCCAGCCACGGAGCGCCCGCTCCCTTTCGAGCTCCATGGGGGCAAAAACCGGCAAGTGGAGCTGATGCCGCGAAGAGAAAACTTAGTAGAGGGAAAGATGCGTCCGTCAAGAGAGTGATCACATGTCATGTGATACGTGTAGGCGGCAATACGTGGTAATCAGGAGGCGCGACATGCAAACAAGAGTGCACATCACCATGCAGCTGAGCTTTTGAGGCATCTAGCAAGCCACTCGCATCCAGGAACCGCCGTTTCAGGCTGTTGCGAGCCGGGGCAGGGAAAGTCATGTTGTGGTTCCACTGGATGACCGCACTGCAGCGTCAGATCTCCGACATGCAACCTGCCTCGTACGAGAGTGCAGCTAGTCTTGGCTCTTGATAATGATTGCGCATCCTGCAGTTGTGCACTGCGCCAATTCGGTGCCATCTCCGAGCATCCCCTCTGCCAGTCTGCCATCGCTGGGATGCAACCCGGCCAGACCATGCAGGCCCCATTCGCCTTGTGACCAGGTGGCTCCAAGTCTGGGAAGGCTAAGTTTCGATGCCATCATTACGCGAGAGGCAAATCCTCATCCACATCGTAGTCTTCGTCCTCGTCCTCACCACCCGTTGCTCGAATACGTACCAGCTCCTGGTACATGGCTGTGGTGACTGCCGTGCCTCCTTCCTGCAGAGCCAAAAGCCATTCCAGTGCCTTCTGCCACTGGGCGCCGCAAGCAGAAATCGCAGGGCAAACGTCTTCATCGTCCAGGGAGTCGAGGTCCTGTTCCGAAAGCCAGGTAAAGGCAGCCTCCCAGCCGTCGCACTGCTCCCGCTCTGCCAATATTCTGATTTGTGCCAAGTTCAAGAAGTAGTTAGTTGGCGTCGGTTGCCCCTCAAACTCAGCAAGAACAGCTGCGGCCTGCTGCCATTGCTGGGCACGAACACACGACATCCCGATAGCACCCAGCACCACTGGAACGTCCCATGCTACCTGCGATGCCTGTGCGTCAACGAGTAGTTGCAGCCCGTGTTCCCACAAAGCCTCCTTCCTGCACATGACGGCCAGCTGTCGGTAGGTGATTTTGTTGGGGTGAAGGCCCTCCTCCATCATCCGATGGCAGAGATTAAATGCTCTGCTCCATTCAGAGGCCTTTGCACAGGCGCAAATGGTCCAATTGTAGGTGTCTACCGTTGGTTGCAAGTCTCTCGGGGCCATGGACGCAAGGAGCGACAGTGCACGAGCCCATTCTCCAGTGGGTTGCATGGCACTGATTGCGACGGTGCAGTGACGAGCAGTAATCTTCACGCTTATCTCTGGTAGATTGCCCAGAAGATGTAGCGTCTGGACCCACTGAGCCGAGAGACTCACAGCCTTCATGGCCGCAGCCATGATGGACTCATCGGCCTGTAGCTGTCGTCGTTGCAGTTTGGTCACGAGGAGCAACGCTCTCTCCCAGCGTCGCTGCGCGCCACATTCTGCGATTGCAGACCGGAAGCCGTCTTTCGTGGGTCCCAGGCCAAGCTCCATGAACAAAGAGACATCTGTGGGCTGTGCGCGGCATTGGGAGGCTGTTGAACGACTTTACACTGCGACGTCATTGCCCACTATCGACATGTCCGACATGAATCGAACTGGTTGCACACACACATGGCAGTTACTGTCCCTCAAGAACCAATGGCACCACGGCTCCCGCTCTCTTGATACCTCCTGATGCTCTTTTTCGGCGCGACCCGCAAAGATGGTTGCCACACGGCAGTCGTGTCTTTAACCGTGTCGCAATCTCGTCGTGGCTTGGTTCACTCGTCATGTTTGTCCGAGAAGCACGTAGACTCGTAGACCACATCAAATGCCTCGGAGCCAGCATTTACAGAAGCTTCTGGAATGAACCTTGGCCGAGGCTCTGGTCGAGCAAAGCATAGCAAAGCTGTGGGTGATCGCCACTCCGCCACCGATGCCGTGACTGTCATCGACTCCTATTCGGCTCGCAAGTGACACGGAACAAAAAACAGCTTCCTGCGTTGGCCATGTGATCTGGAACGAGCACAGCAAGACTCGACCTGATCCATCGTGCTCTCGGCAAGCGAACGACTAAGGGGTTTGCCATGTTACGGTTCTTCGACACCTCGAACTGGCCGTTTCTCGAGCATAATCAGTGTTTGTCTACCGCCAAATTTTCTATGTATACCTCAACATGGTTCTACTGCTGGAGCGCTTATAAGGATACGAAAGTGAGCAAGCAGTTTGGTTGTTTTCGGCTTTCACCATGCCGCCCTGTCCCCCCTCCGCACAACCTCGTTCACTCTCCAATCGCTGATTGTCGGTTTATGTTTTCGCACCTCACTGCGACTATGACAAAACATGCCGCAGCGAGGCAAAACCATCATTTCGCGACACACCGATCAGCAACGAACGGTTGAAATGGGAGGCTCGCATACCCTTTGCTAGCATCTTGCTTTTCACAACTTGAGGGGCGGGGCCAAGGGAACGTCAGCTAGCCTAGGCTTGAGGGACAGCAATCGACACAGAGCTGACGAAGCAGGCTCCACATCCAACCACATCAGCAACGGATCAGCAAACGCAGCGGAAACAGAGATGGCATCATCAGCACATCCAGTCGCGTCGGCATTTCAGCCTAAAATCCTGTACGACCACAGGTGGTATGATAAGTACTTACAGCAATGGCATGGTGGCATGGTCACATGTGCATGCTCCGTTGCCCACTTATGTCTCAAGTGGTTCAAGACACCATAGCTTTTTCTGCGCAGCAGTGAAAACAGCCTGCTGTACGTGCAAAGGCAAGTCATTAGGTCTAACGGCCTATACTGAACCCACATCCTCCCATTGGAGGTGGGGTTCATATCTGGGGGCAGTCTTCTGGTAGCGGAGCCCGTGTTGGGCTCGTCCCCCCGTTATACTGCCACAGCGGTCGGCTCCGGCCAATCGTTTCCCAAGGCGGGCAGAGGTTGCACTATGTCACCCTCCTATCATCCTCCCACAGCAGTGGACATGACGGCAGCAACAACTCCTCCGGAGGATACTCGGAGGATGAACCCTCCCTCTCAACGGCCATATGCCGCACAATCCTTTGCGACGACTGACGAGGTACTCGGCCATTTAGGCATAACGCCCAACATAGGGAAGCATCTGATGGCACCACTTCGTGGTTTGAGTACGAACGATATTACAACGTTGGACGAAGAAAAGACAAGACCGTCCCTGAAAACACGGCTCCCCGGCATCGCTTGCCCCAAAAATGGAGTAGGATACTTCAAGACAAAGATGCGTCCATGTTTCGTCAAGGGATAACTGCGTTTTCCTGTGGCGCTTCCTCGGCCTATTCAAGGCGTGGAAGCGCAACCAAGACTTCGTGACTGGGATTGCCAAGTTCGAGATCGTCCTTCATCGAGTTCATCCTCATGGGTGGACGTCTTACCAGAGGTAACTCTGGAAGGTGACAATCTTGAGTTTCTTGCTGCACTAAGACGGGATCCGACATTCGCGCAACTTCGCGAACCGGCCGACCAAGCCGTATATGCGGCATTATGCGGCGACGCATTTTCCACAATGGAATCAGGAACGCATGGAAGTCTATCGCATATTCTGCCCACTGTATGATAATATCTTTCTCTTCTTTTCCTAGTGCAGTCCGACCAGAATGAGAACCAGCGAGAAAGATTGGTATCATCCCTGACCAATCAAGGTTACCGAATTGAGACCTATACGTACCTTGCGGTATGTTCGACCATGTTTGATCAATTGCGACAGCACGAACTGGTCTACAGGATCCTAACATTCGGCATTACCTCTCACAAGAAGGGTCGCCAGGGAAGAAGAGATCAACGCCGCAGGCGTGGAGGCCGCAATCATCTCATCCTTGACCAGGGAGAATACGACGGAGCAGATCGACTCTGGCTCCAAGACGAGGATACCTTTGATGAAGGTTTCCTCGCCCTCGAGGATGAATCAGTCGTTTAGTTGATGGATGAAAATGAGGCCTTTGTTGCAAGGAGATTTAAGAAGGCAAAATGACAAAGACCAAGAATGCGTCCTGGCTCCCCGGGAAGAGCAAAAAAACGCAAGCGCAGACCAAGAGGCCCCTTTAGGTCTTATCGCGGAAAAGGAGGCAGATGCACACGATCCAACCGATCCCAGCTATTACTGCAAAGGAAAAAGGAAAAGTTAAGGCTAAAGGCGGTAAAGGCAAAGGAAAGGGAAAGGACAAAGGTGACAAAGGAAAGTCCTTTAAAGGAACAAAAGGTAAAGGCAGGGGAAAGGGTTCGGCGAAGGCCGCATCCTCCACAGGGCGATTCCCCTGGAGCCTACGAAGCTACCGCCTCACCGGGCTGGGATGAGCGGCACGAGGACAGTTGATACCTGATTCCGGTTGGACCTATGCCGCATACGATGAACATCAATCATATACGTATTACTCGTATGCCTCAAAGGCAAGGACACGGAGAAAGAAGGAGTGCACTAGCCCATCTAGCCCACCACCATCCCCTACATCCTCCGTGTAGGTACTAGCTAGAGTAGTCGTACTAACCGAGCAACGACAGCGAGCTAACAAGCAGTAGCGCACGACAACTCTCCTTTTTCATGGATGTGGCATAAATCCCAGCTAGCCTGGAGATTGTCGCTAGCCTTTGGCTAGCCCTCCCCAGGGTGGGTTGGGTGGGTACTTCAAAATTACCCCCCCAATGGGGGACTTTATCCAGAATGGCCACGGAAGTGTACAAGGTTCCTCGCCATTCCAAGTCATGCTATCCAAGTCTTGCAAGCTGGCACTCCTAGCAAGAGCAATATAGAAACGAAACACCTACGATGGTTTCGGTGGGAAGATTATCGGGCTAGCACACATAGTCGTAACTCGTTCCTCGTCACGAGGTACGTGCACTAGCCCATCTAGCCCACCACCATCCCCTACATCCTCCGTGTAGGTACTAGCTAGAGTAGTCGTACTAACCGAGCAACGACAGCGAGCTAACAAGCAGTAGCGCACGACAACTCTCCTTTTTCATGGATGTGGCATAAATCCCAGTTAGCCTGGAGATTGTCGCTAGCCTTTGGCTAGCCCTCCCCAAGCGCAGCCTCTCAGGCTACCAGGGATCTAGCCTACGGACCTTCGGGCCAAAACGCGACACCCTCGCCGGTGCCTCTCGCTTCCGCACCCCTAGCTCCCGGTAGAAGCTATCGGAGTGCGCGAGTAGCCGGTCCAACATCCTCCAACGGAGTTCATCCCTGTTGAGGTCTATCCTCAAGCCGGGGACAAAAGCCCCGAACTCCTCGTTGGTGAGGTCGTCAGCTAGCTGGTTGAGATCTCCGGAGTTCATCCCTGTTGAGGTCTATCCTCAAGCCGGGGACAAAAGCCCCGAACTCCTCGTTGGTGAGGTCGTCAGCTAGCTGGTTGAGATCTCTCCGTATCCACTGTAGCTGTAGCTCACAGTTCCTGTGGGATAGCTCTTCGGCCGTCTCCATCAGGATTAGCATGGAAGGATACTTTGTCTCGTCATAGCCTTCTTCAGGAGGGACTCGTGGGACTTGTTATCCGTATAGCCCCTAATGGCCACTCGCGAGGTTTTCCTCTCCTCGCCCTCCGAGACCCAGAGGCGTATCCCGACGAGGGTCGCTAGCAACTCTAGCGCAGCTATCACCTTCTTCGGGTCTCCTTTGGAGAAAGCCCAAGGAGCCCAGGACCTATCCACCTCGAGGGAGAACCAAGCTTGCCAGAGTCTAGCTCTAAGAAGCCCCCTATCCATGCCCTCTCGGCCTTAGCATCGGTGTAGAAGTTCAGAGGAGGTAGCCCGCGAATTAGCCGTACAGGTCCCGAGGTCAGCTTCAGCTTCTCTTCTAGCCAGCAGGTCATGAGCACCCGAAGCATGGTGAGTATCACAAGTAGCCCATCACGTCCTTGGATAGCCGCAGACCAGGCGTGGAGAGGTCCTAGGAAGGGCCTCTCCCAGTCGAGGGCAATCGCCGCGAAGCCTAGCCGGCCCACCTTGAAGGGGTAGCCGAGCACTGAGAGGAAAAGGTAGCTCAGCAGTATCCCTTGCCTGCCCTTGGCACCTATCCCTAGCGACTCGAGGTCGTCCGCGTAGAGGAGCATGTCCATGCGAGAGCCGGGGCCAAGCAGGTGGTGCGTAGCCCGGATACTGCGGGGATAGCCCAAAGGTGCCCACCTTGTTGACGTAGACGATCTGGCTATCCGGGTCGCCCGGCACAGTCTCTTCTTCGTCTATCTGACAACCCATGTAGCCATGCTCGCTAGCCTGGTGCTTGTATCGCCTGTGGGCCTTCGAGATGTCGCCAACGACCGAGTAGGCCACCTCGCCCTCCGACTCAAGCTCCCTAAGAAGTTGCTTCTTCTCCCTAGCCCCAGGTGCGCGGAGCTTATCCCAGCATTTTATCCGGTTGTTGACCTTGACGCCATGGGTGGCATCATGGATTCTCCTCTTCTTATCCTTTTCCTCGTCCTGACTATCACCGCCAAGGCCGCAATCGCCCGGTCCTCGCCGAACCTCGCCTTGAGC